TCAGCAGGATTTACAAAATATTTAGAGCAACCTCTCAAGTATGAAACAAATTCATTACTAAAAATAACCTGACTCAAGTTTTTTTAATAGTTCTCTCAGCTCACCCCATGGATATACACAGAGCTTGCTTGATTCCAATTGAAGCTTTCAAATCAAATCAATGTGCAGGTATCAAATGATCACAAAACCAGAATATAAAAATTAAAATTATAGGAAAGAATGACCAAGGGAGTTCAAAGACATAGATATTTCGAGGTTTGTAAAAATATTCCCTTGATTGGTCACAAACAATCAATGGATGAATCCACTGGGTGAAGTTGTGGTATCTCCATCACTGAAAATCTTAAACACTAAGAATTTGTCCTGAAGGCTAGTCAGTCTTAAGGCTAGTCAATTGATTAAGAGGCAAGAAAACAAGAAGAGTCCATGAAGCCAGGTACAATTATTATGATTATTATTTTGGATTGATTTCCATTCTGTGCTCAATGGGAATTTAAGAGGTTGCCTTTGTAATTACCAAATACAAATTCCAAAATTTTCAATTACTGGGTGTAAATTTGAAAATTTAATTCAATTGAATTCTGATCTTATCAAAGCACTCTCTTTGTTTCATCTATTAAACACCAAGATCATCTAACCTCTTTCTCTCTAGATATCTAATATACAAATTTGATGCATTATCAAATTTACCAACAGGTATATATGTCTCTTTTGTCATCTTAGATATTTCGTTGAGTTTAATGAGAGAATGTAAAGTTATTACATGGGTTCTGAGACACTGGAATATGTTAGAAAACAAGTTTATTACACGATCTGTGGGCTTCCTAGCAGCAGAGTCATATTTTTCTCTGAATCCCCAGTAGAACCTAATAAAGTACTCTGTAAAAAGTAGATGAAAAGTAAATATATCGGATGAACAAACTTTTTAGGAACACGGTGGAGTCGGAAATACACTTGGTTTGGCTAAGACTGTATTTCATTCTTCTATGAAACCTCTGAACTCAGACCAGTGCCTGGGACATAGTAAAAGTTGTTTCATAAACTCTTTTGAATGAAAGGTATTCCTTGACTAAGGGTCTGGTCTCCACAGAGTAAAGTCTGTAACTCTTGGCAAAAGTAACCAAGAACACATAGACATTATTTTGCATAAAATCTCCCAAATGTAATATGAATCACCTGTTACAACCGTCTTTCATAGTTAATTCTCCAACAGAGGTTCCGCAAGTCATTAATAGTAGTAACTGAGTGTCATCATTTTATTTCCTGATTCAGTCTCTGTCAAATACACTATTAGTAAAATGGCCAAGAGGGGTTAGAGAAAGGGCTTCTGGAAAATCAGGAGATAATCCCGAATTGAACTTGAGCATATGAATACATACATTTTCATGAGTGCTTATTGAAAGTATGGGTGGATGAGCTATATAAACAATTCTGAAGTAGAAAGTACCATGAGGATTCTTAAGGAAAAGTGACATTTAAAATGGACAGTGTATATTATGAAATAGGGCAAAAGACTATTCTGATGAGATAACTACATTGGCATTTATCTATATTCTAAACAACACAGATTTCACAAACAAAATAATATGCTCCATGTATGTGTGTATATTCAAAAGATATTCATAGGAACACACAATTTAGTCAGGAAATAGAAAAGAACGTGAAGATTTCATATAAACCCCTCACACAAAATGAGTCAAATGGCCTTAAAACACAGAAGTTGTCTTCAAGGTAAGAGAAAATGAAAAACCCTCCTACCTCCTTCATTCCATCCATGGTCCTGCATCAGGAAGTGTCCCTCATTTCTCTTTGACATGAACCAAGCAAGGATGGGCAGTATCCCAATGAACTTACTCAGATAAACACAATGTGGTTTCTTTTTAAAATAAGCCTTTACTGAGTATATCAACAAGGTACTGTATAGTGTAGAGTGAAGTTTGTAGTTAACAAAGTGTGCGACACAGTAGGTCTCAGGGGATGTGTGATGCAGAATCTTCCAGCCCCTTGCAGTCCCTTGTCAGCGAGAACACACTACACAGAAACCAGAAGCAAATCAACATACGGCTCAAATAATAACAAATCATCAGGATTAACTTTCAGCGAATATATACTGTTCCCACGAGGGACACACAGTGGCGACGCCTTCACCTTGCCTCAGAAAGGTTATAAATCTTACATCCCATGGATGTCTTTATGAATACCCTTGTGTGTGGTGTGTGTGTACACAAGTGTGTGTTTTACACTAGTTAAAAAATGTCTGTTGTGATGGCCTTGCTTTGTGCTCTTCTGGCGGGTGTGCTGCTAGAAAAAGAACAAAACTTAAACTATAGCAAAAAGAATGTGATTTTTTTGTTGTAACAGTATCCCCAGAATAACAGTGTAACAGTACATGTTATAACAACATGTACAAAACTTTCTCCCCACAATCAGGGACAAGCATCCCCCATTGTCAGCAATTGTCTTTCGACCCCACTGAAGAAATTAGACAGGGGTGTAAACTACTGCTTCCTACATTAGTATTTTGACTTAAAAAAAAAAAGCATCAGGCAAGGTTGGACAAAACTAATAATGAGGAGTGTTTCGGTTTGTTTTATGTATTTATCTCTTTCTCTTTGGGGCTCCATTTTCTGCTCTGCTTTCCCATGAAGTTGGAAAGGTAAGTCATGAGCAAAACTATTATTCTCACATTCTAAAGTGAAACAATGTCTCCTTGTTATAGGGTAGAGAAAAATGCTAGAAGCTAAGAGGTAATGGAAATTGATCACTTCATTGTTGCAAGTTGTAATGGATTCTGCAAGTGAGGTTAGCTGACCAAGCTATCTGCTGTCCTCCCTGTAGACAGCAACTATATTGTCTTGTGTCTGGAATGGATGCTCTGTCCACAACATGGAGAGCTTGTTCTCCTCAGTGAGGAAGGAAGTTCTAACTCCTGTGGAATGACTAGGACTATTATGATCTAGTAGGAAATGGAGCCATAACATCAGCTATTTCATTCATCCTTTTTACCAGACTGGTCACATTATACTTTTTTTAAAATCTCTGGGAAAACATGTAACATATTTTCAACAAACATCCAGAAATTGCATGATTTCTCACAGGGTAGAATGTTTTCCACTTCTCGCATCAGAAAAATAGGCAGGAGGACACCCTTTGTGTCTCTGCTTTTGATTGTCCCATGTGAAAGGTTGTTAATGCATTTGACAGTTTGAGGGAAGCTAAGGGCTTCTCCCTATTCAAATACATCTCCCCAAACAAGTAGGTATTCATGACAACCCTGGGTATGAATAATGGTCAGTAATACCTGTGTGCTCATGGCTATGCCTTTTCCTTTTTGAATTTCTTCTGCACAGTGACAGTTACCTAGCTCTGAAAGTGGACACATAGTGTCTGAAATCATTTGATTTGGTCAGACAGCATCGAGCTCTTTAAAAGCCGGTACATATGGCTTTGCTCATGGTCTTGTCCTGCACCTTGAACTGTGACTCTTGACTAATCTCAAAATGCAAAATAATGTATGAGCTCAAGAGAGGTCCAAAATACAGAGCTGATGTATCAGTAAAACATTCCCATAACAAAAACACCATTCAAAGCATCATCCACCACTAATGGTTGTTACAAATTCCATGATGTGCTTTCTATCCTGGTGTAGGTGAGAGCCCCAGGTACACTATTACAAATAGGAGACTGATCTCAATTTTAACAGTCTCTGTCATGTGCACAAGCTCAGAATTAAGTCTATAACTAGATTCTATCTCTTCAGAAATGTCTTCTAGCAAAGGAACCATTTCAGATCATCCTAATCATTTCACATGACCAGGTCTCTGTCGTAGGACTTAAGCCCCAAGTAATTCTGTGAATCCCATAAGACATTACAGAAACCTCTCTAACCTTGGTCTTCTTGGCTCAAAGCAAAAACATTTGTTTCGGCAGCGAAATATCCAGCTGGAGGTTATACACACAATACAAATAAATGAGAATGAATATTTTGTGGATAAAAGGAAAAAGAAACCCTCAAAAATCAAAGTACCATCAATTGAACACATAGTTTTATCTACACAGCCAAGGAGAAAGGGACAGTGGAAGGGAATTATCCAGTTAAATACACAAAACCCCATGTCATGGTCCTGCATTTCAGATGGCTTACTGCTACACTGATCACTTTCACAGATTGTCTTAACCCTTCACTGTGTGGATCAAGCTTTAAAAAAGCAACAGCCAAAACGAGCTAGCTAATAAACTAAAATGAAAACCAAAGTCACTTTAGAATTAATTCAAATTAATTAGTAGTTAATTTCAGCTCAACTGACTGCACAGTTTCGATTCTTGTGTCTATAACATTATAACTTCAGTTATATTTTCTGCTTATTCTGAGGGACAAGGGAGATTAAAACATATGAGTTGGGGATATATTATTAAAGAAAATAAAGCTCTTACTATAAAGAAAAACTTGCATAGCATTTTATACCTAAACTCTTACAAAGTAGACACATCACAGTTCTATTTTGTTAAAAGTAAGAGGGACAGAGAAAGAGAAAGCAAAATGATTGTGACATTAACTTCATAGGTTCCTAAAATAATGGCTGGTGATCAAGGAAACATGCAACACAGACTGAAATGCCTAAATTTGATTTTAAAAATAATTTTCCAAGGGTGTATTTTTTAGATAATGTATGTGTGTGATCGATAGCCCTTCTACAACTAAGGGATGGAAAGGAGTACATTATACATGCTTTTTGAAGATGGACGTTGCTTCAAAAAATATCTAGAATTAAGTCTGGACATCCTTCTCTTCTCTATGCCCTCTGTCCTATGCCTTGCTATGCCAAGATTAGGAGAACAAGTCTTCCCTCTCAGACTTGATCATTTTCTTTCATCTGTTATGCTGTTAATATAAGATTGATTATCCCTCCACAATTCCCAAAGAAGAGGAACATCCACAACTGAAAGGAATAAATGAAATTTAAAAAATGGAAGGTCAAAGTCAGTTCAAGCTGGAAACTTGGTATTGCTTTTTAAACAAATATGTTATTTCGCCAGCTTTGATGTGTCCTTGCAGAATTATTAGCAAGGAGAATTAGTATACATTTTAAAGTGTATATGGATATTTTGTGCAACCAAGACTGGCATCCATGATTTTCTTTTGAATTTTGAAGAGAGGGGGAACGACAAATGTTGCTTCTACAGCTAATTATGAAAATATACGTGAGGTGATTGGAAGACAAGAATTTCCGAGGGGATAAAGGTATTAATTCAAGCTATTTCAACATGATACTAACAAAGTTAGTTGATACAGTATAACAGAACAACTGATCACTTGCTTTTGTCTAAATGGTATCAATAATTTTTACATAACAAGTTTAGTATATTCCAAACATTGATCCCTTGTTGGCCTAAATATCATGTTGACATAGCTGCAGTGAATCTACCCAAATAGTTCTCATTATCAAAAATAATTCCATTCAATATAATTCTTCCCATTATTTTATTAGCCTCTTCTAAAAAAAATGTATTCTAGAATATATCTCTGATGAATGTGATTCAACCTGACATATGATTTGAACAGTAACACTTTTAAAGGGAGTTTTCTTGCTGGGACATCCTACCTGCCCCCGAAGATGACTGAAATCAGACTCAGGTCTCTCACTGTTTCACATAGGGCCAGGGAAGCCTGAAGAGTGATTTTCAAGTTCCCAGTCAGAAAGCCACCCACTGGGTTTGACTGTCTTTTCAAATCTTATCTCATTTTCTTGATTCTGCCAGGATGGGTTAACTTATCTCACAGGAACTGACTTCCTCAAGAGATGTTTTCTGCATTTCCTCCTTTGGGTCAAATCAGGGTGACTACCTCCTTTCTTATATTCTAGAAGTTTTCACTTTTCTTCCAGACCAGGAAGTATACAAATAGCGTGAAGATATCTGCGGTCATTTCTGGTTTTATGCCTATTATTTATCCTACCCTGATGAGTCCATTTTAACCTGCCCTTTCATCTGACCACCAATTCTAGGAAAGGAATTTGTTTTGAAGCTTCAACAGCAAAGTGGTGAGTTGCACCAGGAGGAAGAATCACTCATTCTTTTACCTTAGTATTGGGTTCTCATTGTACAACCCTGTACAGTACTTCAGCAACTATTTTTTTTTTTTAAGATTTAAAAAGCAAAGAGTTACAAAACTGTTTGTAATTAACTTGGAATAGAAAAGATAGCACTTTTTTAAATCCCATTATATAGTACACCGTATAAATTACAGAGTATTCAAATGCACAAATGCATCTGTGTAACATTTATCAAATGTAATTCGCATGTCTTTATGTGCACACACGAGTGTGTTCTCGAAAGTCTTACTGTCCGTGTTTGTAATGCTGGATCTCTGGCTGTCACGTATGGCAGTGCTCCAAGTCTGGCACACTGCTGTTGCAGTATCGCATGTTGTTGGGGATATGGCAGTCTGTGTAATTAATGCCCCCATTTGGGGTGTAAATGGGTTGCAGTCTGAAATCTCCTTTAAGGAGCTGATCGTTATTTAAGGAGACGATCTGAAAGCTGGTTTCTGTCATCTCCAGGATGGAATTGTCCTTTTTGGTGCCTGCCTCGCAATAGTCATCTTTCCGCCGGCCTCGGTTGTATTTCCACTTCTGGGAGGTGTAGCGCCCCTTTTTGTGCATATGCCAGCAAAAGACACCGAGCAGGACCACAAGCACAAATATCACCGCACCCCCGATCAGCCCTGCCAGCAGAAAAGGGGAGCCCATGCTGTGGGAAGTCGTCTGCTCGTGGCTGGAAGCCGTGTTGCTGCCGTTGTTCACATAGGAGGCATGGGTGGTGGCCTCAGAACAAATGGTGTCTTCTACAGCTCGGTAGTTAAATGCATCCAGTGGCACTAAACAAATCCGATAAGTGGATCTGGGCTCTAAATTGACCAGGCGCAGATGCTGCTTCTCACCACTGACAATGCGTTCCTGAACGATGCCCCCCACCAAACTGTGGCCCATTTTCACCCATGTGAGTTTGTACGCCATCACAGTAAAGAGAGAGAGCCAGCTGACTTGAATGGAAGTGTCATTCACAAAATGGATAGAGAGCTGGATCCGTTCAGAAAGAGGCGGGGTCACTCTTTCTCTGCCATCCCAGTCGGGAATCGTGGGGAGTTTCGATGCCATGGGAGTTAGAGGCGCATAGCTTCTGCTAGGGGTCGGGACAGAGTGTGTGGGAGGCTGAGTCGTGGGCGAAGCTGAACTTGGGGCTGGGGTGAAGAGAGGCAGGCCGGGGGTCGTGGTTGGACAGGACAACAGATTCATATTCAACTCCCGGACTGCCATCCCCCGGACTTGTTCAGGACCTTGGCACATGAAACCTCGCACATTGAGAGATGAGGGTATGTGTTTGAGCCATTCCGTGACCCATTTAATACTGCAGTCACAGAACCAAGGATTATTCCGAGCAGTGAGCTGCTTCAGGTTGGAGAGATTATCAAAGACCCCTTGAGTCAACACGCGCAGCTGGTTGTTGGATATATCCAGCCGTTCCAGCTTCCGGAGATTCGAGAAGGCTGTCAAAGGGATGTGGTTGATCTGGTTGTCCTGCAGATAGAGCCTCATCAGGTGCATACCTGGGAGGTCAGAAGGGGGATGGGAGAGCGAATTCCGGACAATGGAAAATTCCTTGAGCTTGGCGAGGTGGCTGAAGGTGCCCTCGGCAATGCCCTTGTTGGTCAGGAGGTTTCCATCCACGATCAGACGCTCCAAGCTCGTGAGGTTCTGAAAGGCCATGTCTGATATGACGGCAATTCGATTCTCATCCACTCTCAGCTCTTGCAGGTCCACGGGAAGCCCCACAGGCACGCTGCTCAGGTGATTCTTGGATAGAAACAACAATTTGAGGCTAATGGCCTCCCGGAAGGCCCCATCTTCCACCCCCACCGTGGATATTGAGTTGTCATCCAGGTGGAGCTCTTCAAGCTTCAAGAGCTGGGCCAGGGCAGCCCGTGAAATGGTCTGAATATTGTTTTCCTGCAGATGGAGAACTCGGACGTTCTTGGGAAGGTTCATGGGGAATTCATCCAGTTGGTTCCCATAAAGGTACACGGTGTGCACAGACTGTACGTTGTGCAGCTCTGCAGGAAACCCAGCATTATTAATTTGGTTGTTGTGGAGGTAGAGTACAGTGACGCCCTCCGGGATCCCAAGAGGCACTGAGGTCAAGCTTCGCTCGTTACAGTAGACAAAGTTCCTGTCACAGCGACACACGCTAGGGCACGCCAGGAGTTTTGACACTTGTGAGTAGAGCCCCAGGGAAATGAGAAGCCAAGATTTCAGGAAAAAAGCCCCCTGGCTGGGCCCCTGTGTAGTCTGTAGGCCCATTTCTGAAGTACAGAAATAAAATACGATGTGGTAGTGAAAAGAAAAAGAAAAAAAAAAAAAAACAGATAGCAAAACCAAAATGATTGAACGTAGTTCTGTTAAAGTCCAGAACTCCAGCTAGAGGGAAAGTCCCGAAGGCCAAGGTCAAAGAATCTTCCTGTGGTCTCTGGTCTTATCAGCCTATGTTGCCCTCTTTGCTATTGTCCTCCATGTGCAAAAAAATTTCAATAGGGAGAACTTTCCACCCAGGCAACAAGTGAAGCCAAGTTATCAGCGGTCAAAAGGGGCCCAGTGGGCAGGTAGAATCCCTTCTTCTGTGGTCGGCCAGGTCAGTGTGGATCAGCCTATGAACTTGGTTAAGTTCAGTCTGCAATCTGTTGTAGGAAAGTAGAGAGAAAAGAGTCAGTTAAGGGTAGTGAGTGGATTAATTGCTGATCTGCCTGTGGCTTTTCAAGAATGTTGTGATTCAATGTTCATTGCAGCACTATTTACAATAGCCAGGACATGGAAGCAACCTAAGTGTCCATTGTCAGATGAATGGATAAAGAAAATGTGGCACATATATACAATGGAATATTACTCAGCCATAAAAAGGAACAAAATTGAGTTATTTGTAGTGAGGTGGATAGACCTAGAGTCTGTCATACAAAGTGAAGTAGGTCAGAGAGAGAAAAACAAATACCGTATGCTGACACATATATATGGAATCTAAAAAAAAAAAAAAAAGGTTCTGAAGAACCTAGGGGCAGGACAGGAATAAAGACGCAGACCTAGAGAATGGACTTGAGGACATGGAGATGGGGAAGGGTAAGCTACGAGGAAGGGAGAGAGAGGCATGCACATATATACACTACCGAATGTAAACTAGATAGCTAGTGGGAAGCAGCCGCATAGCACAGGGAGATCAGCTCAGTGCTTTGTGACCACCTAGAGGGGTGGGATAGGGAGGGTGGGAGGGAGACTCAAGAGAGAGGGGATATGGGGATATATGTATACATACAGCTGATTCACTTTCTTATACAGCAGAAACTAATACATTGTAAAGCAATTATACTCCAACAAAGATGTTAAAAAAAAAAAAATCACTGTGATTGGGACTGAATGCTCAGGGAGTTGGCATTAAGTGACATGCTAAATAATAATAATTCAGTCGAAAAGGTATTCAAGAAATGAAAACGATTCAATTATCTTTATCATCAAATGGAGACCCTACTGTTACCTCTCACTGTCAATGATCATATTGTGAATTTCACATCACAGTCAGTATCTTCTCTCAGAGATCTATTTGCATATCCAAACAGACAGGCACAAGAGGCCCAGGGCTGAATCCATTGAATCAATGATGACCATCTACAAATGCAACTGGTCACAGTCATATTTCAAGATGAAATGAGTGACTGAGCAACAAATACAATTTAAGGGACAAAAAAAATTGTGAAACCCTTTCCAGTTATAAACAAATGCAAAATGGGGACTGATAAAGTTATTTAGAAAGATGCATCCTTCTGATCTGACACTGTGATGAAGCAGTTTAAAGGTGATGCACAGAAACAGAGGTGATGTCAAGTCAGAGAAAAGACTGCTCTTTTCTTCCCCACTCCCCACCTCCTCTCATCTCTCTCTGCCTCCCAAATAGCCCCCACTTGAGTTACCCATGACACACTTCCACTTATCCCCTCTTTTGAGACCTTCAGGTTCAGATGAGATACACCATTGCGATTCCTTTGAGAGCTGACAAGCTCATGACTGGGAATAAAATTATTTTCCAGCAACTCAACCTTCCTCCCATCTGTATGTGTTTTTCTGCTTTTAGGAAAGGACTTTCAGTAAACTTTGAAATGTTAGAAGACACAGTTGGGGAAGTAAAGGCAATATACAGATAGTAATCAGACTTTCTTGCTCCAGAACTGTTCCGTCTATTTTTAGATTAGAGAAGTAAAGAAGTTAATTGAAAGGTGCCAGATTTGATTTC